CGTAACCCGAGGCATCAACCTCAATGCGCGTCTCTCGATTAGGGTCGTACAGCGCCAAGACTGGAGTCGTCGCGAAGAGCCGCTTGAGCTCATCGAAAGCGTGCTGCTCTTCCTCGCCCCAATGCCATGGGTCGTTCCCTGTGAGTCGGTCGAGTGGTCGCGAGATCTTAGCAAAGTCCTTAATAAAGCGGCGGTAGAAGTTGGAGAACCCCCGGAACTTCTGGACATCTTTTTTGTTCCGGGGTACCGGCCACTCATTAATTCCTTTCAGCTTCGCGGGATCCATCGCTACCTCATCGCCACCGAACACATAGCCGACATAGTCGACCTTGGGAACGTCCCACTCGCATTTCTCAGGCTTCAGGAACAGATCGTTGTCCTGAAGGCGACGAAGAACCTCGCGTGTGACTTTTTCGTGCTCCTCCTTGTTGGTAGAGAAGATGAGTATGTCATCAAGGTATACGAGGATCTTGCCGCCGACGATGAGATCGTGGAAGATCTCGTTCATCATCGCCTGGAAGGTCGTGGGGGAGTTGGTGAGGCCGAAGAACATCACCAAGGGCTCGTACAATCCTCGGTTGGTCACAAAGGCTGCCTTCCATTCATCACCGGCTTTGATCCGGACGTTGTTGTATCCCCATCGGACATCGAACTTGGTGAAGAGCGTGGCGCCGCGGAGCTTATCTACCATCTCGGCGATCAGCGGCAAAGGGTAGCGGTTTTTGACCGTGATAGCGTTCAAGCGGCGGTAGTCCTGTACGGGCCGAAGCGTCCCTTCCTTCTTTTTGATGAAGAAGAAAGGCGACGAAATGGGCGATTTCGACTCTCGTATGTAGCCCTTCGCTAGTTGCTCCTTTAGGAACTTGTCCAGTTCCTCTTGTTCGTTGTTCGACAGGGGATACACCTTCGAGTGGAATGTCGAGTAGCCGGGTACGAGTTCGATCGCGTGATCGTAAGGCTTCCTTTCGGGTAGCCGTTCTGATGCTTCCTTGGAGAAGACATTCAGGAACTCGTGGTACTGTTTAGGTACCGACTCCTCGGCGGTCTTAACGACCTTCTTTCTGATCTCCTCTTC